GCGCAGCACTCCGAAGAGGCACGCTTGCCGGAGTCGGTAGTCTTGTCGGTCTTCTTCCTCTTCTTCCCTAGGGGAGCTTGGTCGGCAGGAGCAAGTGCCTTGGCGGGAGATGTTGCAACTGCTTACCGGTAAAGTTGTTCAGCGCAAACCAGCGCATCCTTCTTGTCAGAATGGATGGTGATGACGCCTATCGGCCCTAGCATCTTCAACGTGTTGTATGCATAGTGGGATGCTGCCATGAATTTTGCCAGGGCCGGGCGGCCAAAGATCCCATTACATGGCAATGGAATCTTGATGACGTCGAAGACAATCATCTTTGTCCTGTAGTTGAGTTCGCTGCCAAATGTCACCGGCAGAGTGATCTTGCCCTTTGGCTGGCTCCTTCCTGGATTGATCCCTTGGAACGTGCCAGTCTTCTTCATCAGATCATCATTAGAAATCTGTAGCTTCTTGATCACATCATGTGAAATCAAGTTGAGACCGACCCCATCATCAACCAACATTTTTGTCACTTTGAGGTTGTGGATTGTTGGTGAAAAACAGCAAGCACCCGACCATACTTGTGCAATCAGGGTGATCCTCGACGTCAAAAATGATGGGCGTGTTGGACCATCTCAATGCCTTCTGGGCATCAATTGCTGGTTCTGCCACATTGACTTCACGCGCCCACTCCTTGAGTTGGCAGTGAGAGAAGTGCAAAGATGCACCTTCGTCAATGCACATTGCTTTTGTGGCTTTCTGGAGTTCACTGGACTCGTCTTCATCCTCTTCGTCCTCGTCATCATCATCCTCTTTCTTGTCTCGACCTCTAGCAAGCTTCTCCCTCTGTTGCTTGGTCTTGTCGCGGCGACCTCCTCGGCCACCACGTTTCTTGCCGGACCCACTTGCACCGTCAGCCTTCTCCTTATCTCTCTTCTCATACTCAGCCTTCTACTTCTCAGCAAGCTGCTCAACTTGCCGGCAGTCTTGAAGGTCATGGCTCTTGGTGCGGTGGATCTTGCAATACTGCTTGCCGGAGCCCCCGGTCTGGTCAGCAGCCGCCAAGACTTGGCACGAGGCGCACCCGGCAACCTCCTTGCCGGAGCTCTCAGCCTTAGCCTTCTTAGCGAGGCCACTGTTGCTGGATCCCTCTACGGCGAGCACAACTTTATCCTTGCGATTCCTGTTGCACTTGCGGTTCTTCTTCTTCGGGGCGGTGGCAGCATCATTGTCTTTTGAATCAGACCCTGCGCCAACCTCCTCCCCAGGAAGTCTCCTTCCTTCCTCAGCCCATGCACACTTGTCAGCCAGAGCATAGAGCTCAGCGACGTCCCCCACCTTGTTCATGGCCATCTCTTCCTGCATCTTGCAGTTTCTCACGTTCTGTCGGAACGCGGCAATGGTTGTTGCGGGGTGGACATAGGGAATGTTGCGTTGTACAAGGCTGAATCTCTGTATGTACTTGTGGAGCGACTCATCTTCTTTCTGCGGTATCAACTGCGGATCAGTTTCTTGGCCTGGAACTTTGCGGAGCCCCAGCAACTTGCACCGCAATGGTGTAAATGCTTAGGAACTCTGGCGGGTGTGTCTTGCCGTCATACTTCTCCACCTCTGGCTTGAAGTTCCAGGAACTAGGCCACTAGACTTGCCGCAACTCACAGGTGAACGTTGAACAACCGACCTTGTAAGGTAGGCCGCCATTGTTCCCCAGTGCAGGCTCATCAACAGCAGACCCTGCACGCCTATCAAATTGACGTCGCGCTTCCCGTCGCCATTTGATGGTAGTACGGGCATCTTCTCCGCGCCGTTCTTGGAGAACTTGGCGCTGGTCGCGGTGAACTCGCGGATCGGACGACGCCATGGACACGTCGTCATGGGCATCGACCCGCTAGCTCCGCCGCTAAGGTTGTTGCTGTCATGGAGGGGATTGCACCGTGGCTGCTCCACCTCCAGTCCTCTCTCCGGCAGCACGCACCGGAGCGGTGGGCTGCTGCTGTGAAGGTCCCGCCCACTGCAGTTTGTCATTGATGGCGAAGCCAACAAGACTCTAGATGGTGGTTCTCCACTCCATCTTCTCCGCGGCAAGAGGAAACTTCAGAAGTAACTGAGCACGAGCCAGTGCTTCTTCTGGCGTGGACGGCATGGAAAGGTGCGAGGAATGAGAGGTGTTCTTGCTTCCAACTGATCTAGAAGCAGCCCGTCTCGAACCTGGACATTGGCATGTTGTCGCCAGTGTGCTGGCATGCATGTTGGCCTTGCGTGTCTTTAGGAAGATCCGCAGGGCCCTTACCGTGGGGACGCTTAGAGCCACCGACATCGTGGCGTTGTTCGTCGCGCGCGGCCTGAGATGGCCGCGGCATGGGCGTCTTGAAGTGCGCCCTGTTCTCCCTGGAGTTCGCCGCACCACCCGCGGGCGGCACGGCCCCGTCCTTGGACCTCGTGGCGTGTGTGTCGTTGTTCCTGTTGCGGACGATGCCGCTCGCCTGGCTGTGATCGCCAGAACGCCGCGGAGGTTGATCTTGGCCTCCACCTCCGCCACTCGCGCCGCCGCCTGTGCCGTCGCTTGTCTGCGAAGGCACTGGTGGCTTGGACGTCGACGGACCGACCATCGCGGTGCCCTTCTTCTTGGGAGCCATGGCGACGAAGACGGTGAAGAATCTGACGCGCTAACTGCTAATTCTGGTTCGCACAAGCGATCCTCCTACCTGGCGCGCCATGGATGTTGTGTGTATGACCATCTATGGGATCATGGCGATCCCTTTGCGGTTCGACTGGAGAGATCGACAAGCACAAAGAGCAGAATTAGCAAAAAATGCACAAGGTTTACCCAGGTTCGGGCTGCTGTGAAGCGTAAAACCCTACTCCTGCTTTGTATATTGGATATGTATATGTCCAGTTACAAAGAGCGCACGTCCGGCAAGGTGCTCAGAAAATGCCGCTACGCGTGCAAATGGACAGGATTTCGACCTTTGTCAAGGTAGCCATGGGCCTCCTTTTATAGACTAAGGGGTCACCACACTAGCAAAATGGTAAATAAACACTGTAAATAGTGGCTACAGTGCCAAATACCCAACTCTGTCGGGTTAGGACAAACGCATTAAATGCACCGTGAGGTGTCTTGTGGATGGAGCTCCCCGGCAAGGTTGGTCTCTCCTCCTGTGTCGTTCGCCCATCTACCTTCTATTTCCTTGACACATCATTTGGACGGGTGTTATTAAAGTTGTATCTTCAGAGGCGAGCAGCCACGTGCCCAGACAAAGCTCACCTAACTACCTGCCCACACGACACCTAATCGACAAGTGACAACCTGATCAAGGTGGAGCAGTGGCAAGGCGGTGGTATTCTTGCCGGGCTTGAATCTTGACGGGTTCTCCCCGGCAAGGATCCTGCCGGGTCCTCGAGCCATATCTTCAATATTTCTAATCTCTGGCTCGGAGATCTCCTTTGTATGCTTGTAATCTGATCTTGAGTTTTAGCTTTAGTTATCCTCCGGCAAGCCTTGTCGTCGGGACTCGGGAAGGCTACTACTGCATGTGCACAAGTCTGGGGTATTAAAGACCCAATTCTTAATACATTGACAAGGTACTGCTGCACGGATACAGGAGCCAAACATCTTCGACCCCACGTATGGTGCGCCCGGAGGACTCGGGGAACGATGGGGCTTGTTGATGCGACAGTCGTTGTTGTCGGCGATGGAAGTGAGGTTGTCTCCCTCCAATTTGTGACAGACTCGGCATCTTGTCTCGAGAGTCTTGCACATCATGGTCCAGGTTGATTTACAAATGGGTGGTCAGCCAGTTCTGGATGCGTAGATGACTTCTCTTGTACTATAAGATGGTGACCCACCCAAATCTTCTAGGAAGACTCAAGTCATGGGCCTGGCCTACCCCATGGTTATTTGCCCTTATTCGTCCTCCTTGACTATACTCGGGTGTTCCTCCTTGACTTTAATCGAGTGTTCCTCCTTACTATACTCAGGTGTTCCTCCTTACATCGACAGGGTGCATCCAAGGTGCTTGACGACGGCAACTGCACCCGCACATGCACGGCCCTTGATCTCTCTCTCCAGAATCGACGGCGTCCACAAATAGGTCCTCAGGCACCTCAGCCTTGACGCCTTACGGTGCAGTCTCTTTGGACTTCTGAGTGGAATAATCGAAGATGATGAAGAGGAGTTGCTTTTGGGGCAGTTCTAGGGGCGATGGCTGTAGCGGCTGAGGGGATTAGGTAGGGGAATTTGATGGTATCACCGAGGATGGCTGGGAATGATAGATCAAGGTTCAAGACCAAGGCCAAGTGGACCAATGACAATATATGTCGTGCAAAAGCCATTGAAGCCGAGGTGGGTTCACTCCTACTTGAGCTCCCTACGCATTTGGATGAGGCATGGCTACTACCTCAAGAGTGGAACCTTGTGTTTGATTAGGTATGACGATGACCACCACGGAGAAGTGAGGAAGGATTGCAAAGTCCATGAGGAGGAGCAAAGAGAAGAAGCTGGAGCCCAAAGATCCAAGACTGGAAAAGCCTCTGGACACCCCGAGGCTCTGGCAACCGGGAGAAATTCTCTGGATACCTCGGGTCCCTGGCCTCCAAACCCCCAGGTCCACAACCCCCTGCCGACCAACTTTCTAGATACTAGGTCCACAGGTTCCATAACCCCCGGGTCCCCGTGTCCACAGTGTACCCTGTGGCCCTGGTCTTGTCGGCGTGCAAATGATGGGAAATGTTCCTTGTACCCCTCCCTTCTCTCTTCCCTATTACCTATATATTGTGTACCTCCTTTTTCTTGGGTTAGCTAAGCATAGAGTAAAACTTGAGGGAGCTTTGCTCAATCTATATCCTCTTAGTAGGATCAAGGCTTCCTCATTGGGGAAGAATCCTATGGATTTCAAAACCTCAACATCTTAGAAGTTGGAAGAACTATCTCTCAAGACCTCCAACTCTGCTAGAGATTTGGAGAAGAACTATCCTTGTTTACCTTCGTGTCTTCTGTTGTTCTTGGATCTAAGATGCACCTCTTAGATTGACTTGCGTTTTGAGGAGTAATTGGAGTGGATCTTGTCCTTTGAATGATTTTCATCTTGGTTTCCCATTTTTCGCCCTTGATTCTTGTGTTGCTTCTCAAATTGACCTCCAATTCGTGAAGATCGAGCCACCCTAGCGGCTTGCCCCGTATCAGGGCAGCTGCATCGTTCTATACCAAGGAGAGAGAATAGTGTACGGGAGAGAGACAGAGAAGATGACAAGCTTAGAATGGGCTTGACCAGGCCTAGTACCACTAATGTGCAATTGACGATCGCTCTCCTAAGATTCCAAACTCCCAATACATGTACATTAAAAAAAATCTTGCCTTGGTTGAATTGGTATTGCGACCTAGTTCAATTCCTGGGGCAGAATATCTACATCAAAACAAAGCCTAACTAATTTTGGTTCACCAAAAGTGATGACCAAATCAGGTAACGAAATGTTCGGTTTTGGTCATGGTTCTTTGGTTTGGGACTCCGGTTCTCGGTGATATGCTTAGAAAATGCATACCATCTTACTCCTCACTGGTCAGCACAAGATAATGACAGTAGCCAACGGAATTTTCTTTACAAAAGTAAATACTTCACAAATTAAAGAGTTAAATCCAATATCTCACCTTTTGTTAGTACAAGTAAATGTGTAGCAATGCACGTTGATATTAGGCTATATATTTATTACATGGGGATATTAGGTAGGATATTATTTGCGCGTCAATTATGTGATTAGCGCTGATGTTTATATTTGGTATGATATTGGTTGCATGTTAAAAATGTTGAGCGCTCACCATTGAAGCAATCTAGATCGTTGGATTGACCTGATTTGATGGCCAAGATTAGTTGGATCTGCCCCTTGGGTCTTTTTATATTGGTATAAATATAGATATGCGTGTGTAAAAGAGTCAACCATGAAAGAATTGCAGAATGCTTTTTGCTGGACGTGAAAGTTATGTTTTACATCAACATGATGAGCCACTCTAACAGGATATGTAAAGTTAATCCAATCTAGAGTAGATAATTATAAACACACAAACAGGAAACAGCAGTAAAATGATAAACTGGAACACATAATCTGCATCCCGAAGCTGCCAAAGTGCATGAGATTGGTCAAAAAAATGAACAAAGAAAAGTGTATGTCAATCATAGAGAACCGGTGCATTGAAAATTATTGAAGACTAGCATTGTTTGTGAAAACAGGGCCAGGTGGCATAAGAAGATATATGGCCATGCACATAACTGAATAAGGGGACAATGATATTGTTATATGCAAAATAAGGTCTATATGATGTTGCCAGTGCATGAAAGTAGACTACAGCCAAAACTACACTAGCTCGACAAAGACAGTTTTGAGTAGCATAGTACCTGCCGATATGATGAGTGCTTGTGCGGTGTAGTTCAGATTATGCTTAGCCCAAGGAAGGACACGGCAAGCAACCAACTGCACAAAATTAAATTTGACAGAAGTCAAATATATGCAAGTATGCACACAAGAATTCAGCACACAAATACGCACCGTGGGAACCGCGACCACAGTACCAGCAATGGCGGCGTTCTTCCCTCCCAACAAGACAGCCTCTGCAACAAGATAACGCAAGAAACAAACATAAGAGGCAGAAAACACAAAATCACCAGCATTGTCTACGTGCCACTGTATATCAACTACACAAGCGAATTGTGCTGAGAGTTGGGACATTAGATGAAGGAAGGCATGCGACTACACAATCCTGGCAGCCACGAGCAGAGAAACCAAGACAGAAATCATCTTCCGCTTCCCACACTGAGAGCAGAAATCACGCATCAGGGAATCCAGGCAGACACGACCCCATGTCCACCTACCATAGCGCAAGAACAAGAATCTATCCATCCGGTTGGACCAAACAACCGCGTTCCGCCTTGGTTTCCCGATGGATCTGCGATGGTGTGGCCCGGTGGTGGAACTGAGAGAGGAAGAGCGAGAGGGTCTTTGGGGTACCTCGGACGGCAGCGCTGGATTCCTCCTCCTTGGGGGATCGGACTAAGAAATTCCTGGCGGCCATGGCTCCTCGCTCCGTTCTGTTTCTTCTCCCTGGCGGCTTCTTTTCCCCTATAGCTATCTTCCGATTGAAGGAAACGGTGGGTGACCCGAGTTGCCTTGTTTCCGCTGTTGGTGCGGCCCGACTTATGCAACTACACAATCCTGGCACGGAGCTCAATAGATATCAAATTTTTTTCATAATAATATGTGTCTTATTTATATCATAAAGATTAAAATACAAGTCACATAAAGATCGACGTGACAAAACTGAAAAGACAGTAAAACGGCTTTGCGCTTGACACCAACATCCCGCACCACCATAGCAGACACTGAAAAGAAATGACGATTCACCTTCTCACTCAAGCTCAACGCGGCTCCATCGCTGATATGCAGCTTTGCGAACCTCCAAGGTGGCTCACCAAAGACGAAACCATTACCGTTGAACGAATCAGACTGGGACAACACCCCAGACACACCATCGAATTCCAGATCTCGCACCCCCACATGACTAAGACATCGAGGAGAAACCATACCTGCCATCCACGAACCACGAACCCAACACACACTCCGTCTTCCAGATGTCGTTGATGCAGACCATAATTTGCATCCGCTCCTCGACTACCTCACAAGTCTGTGCCGACATTGGAGCAGACGTCGTCGCAACCGCGGAGCCCGAGGACACATGTCCACTACAAGGATGCCGCCGCCACGACATCCCCGCTTGAACAGACTGGATCCCAGATCCCTCACCAACAATAGAGACGATCACCTCGCCGGAGAAGAATTCAGAGTTTCTTTATTCAGCATCGTCGTTGTCGCCGCCGAAGCCAAGACGTCGAACGATCCAAAACCCTAAGCTTCTTGGGCCCTAAAACCTAAAGCTAAAACGATCAACATGTGCGGGATCCGGCGACCCCCCTCACCACCGACGACCAAAAGGTCGCCGGCGGAGGAGAGCTGCCGGAAGACGGTGCAGGAAGGAGGGCTCTCCTGGTGACGGTGGCTAGGTTTCGCTACAGGAAGAAAACGATCACAAGAGGAGGAAACGTTCAAAAAGATACCAAATTGTTGATTCTCTTTTTTGCTTCATTTTCGTATTAAAAGAGATAAATACACTCAGGGTCACTATAATTGTGATGAAAGCACGATACGGTCACCCAACTTTGAAATGCACTCTTACGGTCACTGAATACGATTGGATGTGAAAATATGGTCACTGTAGCATGTATGCGGTGCGTACAGGCTCTTTGACCACATGTTGACTAGTAGTTGGGGACAGGTGGCAAACCGCAGAGGCGCCGCTGTGGAAATATGCCCAAGGCCCCTCGGGCATGACCGAATCCCCCGTTCATCCCTCCTCCACCCACGTCGCATCTTCGTCTTTGGTTGGAGAAAGGGGACTCGCTTCATAGGTGATGTCGCCCCGGCGATCATCGGTGGTAGAGGCGAGGAGAGCGGTTGATTTCTCAGTGGTTGTAGAGGCGCTGCCGCCGCACGCATTCTTCCCGTGGGAGGCGGCGGCGATGGCCCCTGTTCGTCGTGCAGAAGGGGCGCCACCCCTGTGTATAGTAAGTCTCGCTTTCTGAAGAATCCGAGCTTTTTTGCGTTTTGATGTTGAAAATCTAATGCGGAGCATCCCACGATCATCACCATGGACACATCTACATCTCCTACGACACCACTTGGACCAATGACAAGAGCTAGAGCAAAGGTCATCGAAGATAAGGTGAACTCGCTCCTCTCCAAACTACCACTTTCTACACATGAGACATGGCAACTACCTCAAGCGGAAACACTATGTGTGATCAGTTACTTGGAGGAAGGCCACGGAGCAACTACATCCAATGGACAAGATGGTGAGGACACTGAGCATGAGGGACAAGAAGAAGAGCTACCGAAGAAACTCCAGCCACCAGACGACCGGGCGAGACAGGACGTCCAGCGCCTGAAGCTCCAGCCACCCGACGACCGGTCAGGACCGGACGTCCGGCGCCTGAAGGCCCAGCTGACCCAAGTCCCAGCCGACGCAAGCTACAGCGAGCGGGCGTCCGTGCAGGACCGGACAACCGGCAACACCTACCGGCGAGCGGACGTCCGGCCTTCTCCGGACGACCGACCGTCTCCGGGCGTCCGGTACCACTTCAACAGAACGAAAATAGCGGAAGTCCGAACCCTACCGGAGTCCGGACCCTCGCGAGCCATCGGACGACCAGTAGAGGCCGGACGTCCGCTGCCCGTCTGTGCACAGTTTCGGGCCCGAGTTTCATGTACCCATTCAATTCGCCCCCATTTGCACTTAGACTATAAATAGATCTCCTCCTCCTCCTAGTTAGGGTTAGCATTGGTTTAGCTCATATTAGAGATAGAGCTTTGCTCATCCACTTGGTTACTTCTCCATCGGAGTTCACGACCTCTTCAGAGAAGATCCCCCAAGCGGATTCAAGACCCCTTCTTGGGAAGACCCCTCAAGACCTCCTCATGGAGATGAACTAGCTACTTGTATCGTCCATTGTTGGATTTGAATCGTGTATCTCTTTGTGTTTCGAGAATCTAGCACATGTGTAATCGAATCTTGTTGGTTTGATTGATTCTCTCATGTTTCCCCTCGTGTTCTTCGTGTTCTTCGTAGGATTCCCTCCAATCGTGAAGATCGGGCATCTAGGGTCCTACCCTACATCATCTTGGTATCATGAGCCATGTTGATCACGTATTTGGAGGCCCTACCCTTTGTTTTCTAGCTTGATTTTGTTGTGTTCTTCCCCAATTTCGAAAATGCCCACCAAAAATAGCCCCAAATTTTTTTGTGATTTGTTGGTGTGATGAAGTTTTGTTGGATTTAATCCATGGATTTGCTTTGCCACGAGTGGATCAGCTTTCCCCCATCATCTCCACCATTCCCATCCATAAAACCACTCGGATTTGACCAATTTTGCCACCTCCTTCACGAACCCTAGCTGTTCATCCCGTGCCCGAAATCGCCCAGGCACCGGACGTCCGCTAGCTACTAGATATCCGACGACCGGACGACCGCTCCACCACCGGACGTCCGCTGTTTCCCGACGAAACTGAAAAAGTTCAGTTCGGCCACCACCACCTCTCCACTTCCACCTCCGCATACGCACTCCGATACCACCACCGCTTTTCGCAAGCACCACCATCGCTTACCCGCTACCAACTCCGACACAATTTTAACATGTTTTGGTCTTTGAGAATTTGAGTTGTGATTTCCGTGTCCTATTGTGTTTTGGCTATATAGGTACAGTTCGACATCAACATCACCACCGCTCATCTTCGCCGCGGACTCGCCATTGACAACAACCGTTCGACAATTTTTGACACCTTGATACGTCCATTTTGCATCATGCTTTTATATCGATACTTATTGCATTATGGGCTATTATTTCACGTTATGTCACAATACTTATGCCTATTCTCTCTTATTTCACAAGGTTTACATGAAGAGGGAGAATCCCGGCAGTTGGAATTCTGGGCTGGAAAAGGAGCAAATATTATAGACCTATTCTGCACAACTCCCAAAGTCCTGAAGCTCCAGGGAAGTTACTTTTGGAATTAATAAAAAATACTGAGCAAAGAAAGTACTAGAGGGGGCCCACACCCTGGCCACGAGGGTGGGGGGCGCGCCCTACCCCCTTGGGCGCGCGCCCCTGCCTCGTGGGCTCCCTGGCAGTCCTCCAATGGCCATCTTTTGCTATATGAAGTCTTTTACCCTAGAAAAAATCATAAGCAAGCTTTCGGGACGAAACACCGCCGTCACGAGGCGGAACCTTGGCGGAACCAATCTAGGGCTCTGGCGGAGCTGTTCTGCCGGGGAAACATCCCTCCGGGAGGGAGAAATCATCACCATCGTCATCACCATCGATCCTCTCAGCGGGAGGGGGTCAATCTCCATCCACATCTTCACCAGCACCATTTCCTCTCAAACCTTAGTTCATCTCTTGTATCCAATCTTTGTCCCAAAACCTCGGATTGGTACCTGTGGGTTGCTAGTAGTGTTGATTACTCCTTGTAGTTGATGCTAGTTGGTTTATTCGGTGGAAGATCATATGTTCAGATCCTGTATGCATATTAATACCCCTCTGATTATGAACATGAATATGATTTGTGAGTAGTTACGTTTGTTCCTGAGGACATGGGAGAAGTCTTGCTATAAGTAGTCATGTGAATTTGGTAATCGTTCGATATTTTGATGAGATGTATGTTGTCTCTCCTCTAGTGGTGTTATGTGAACATCGACTACATGACACTTCACCATTGTTTGGGCCTAGAGGAAGGCATTGGGAAGTAATAAGTAGATGATGGATTGCTAGAGTGACAGAAGCTTAAACCCTAGTTTATGAGTTGCTTCGTAAGGGGCTGATTTGGATCCATATGTTTCATGCTATGATTAGGTTTACCTTAATACTTCTTTTGTAGTTGCGGATGCTTGCAATAGGGGTTAATCATAAGTGGGATGCTTGTCCAAGAAAGGGCAGTACCCAAGCACCGGTCCACCCACATATCAAATTAACGAACGCGAATCATATGAGTGTGATGAAAACTAGCTTGACGATAATTCCCATGTGTCCTCGGGAGCGTTTTCCTTCATATAAGAATTTGTCCAGACTTGTCCTTTGCTACAAAAAGGATTGGGTCACCTTGCTACACCTTATTTACTTTTGTTACTTGTTACCCGTTATGAATTACCTTATCACAAAACTATCTGTTACCAATAATTTCAGTGCTTGCAGAGAATACCTTACTAAAAACCGCTTGTCATTTCCTTCTGCTCCTCATTGGGTTCGACACTCTTACTTATCGAAAGGACTATGATAGATCCCCTACACTTGTGGGTCATCAAGACTCTTTTCTGGCGCCGTTGTCGGGGAGTGAAGCGCCTTTGGTAAGTGGAACTTGGTAAGGAAAAACGTATATAGTGTGCTAAAATTTACTATCACTTGTTACTATGGAACATAATCCTTTGAGGGGCTTGTTCGGGGTATCTTCACCCCGGCCAGTAGAGAA